GTCCTTTTTTAAAGTTTCTTAGTTTTTATCTTACCCATTTTATCGTACCTTCTTTTCTATTTTATTTTTAGCTTTATAGATTAAACATTTTTATTATTGTAATTATTAATTGTCACTGAAAAGCCCTCTTAGGGAGTGTCAATAAAGTTTGTATTGTATTGTATTGTATAAGACTGTTCCTTAACCTTCCCTTAAAAATTCCTTTTTTCAAACTTCTATTTCTTGGCAGAGTGCCATCCCAAAAATTAAGGCATGATTCTATTATATGACATCATTTAAATAATGCAACAGGTACTCTTGTGTTGCTGCATGGTTTGTAACGATCAAGGAACAGCCGATTCACAGATTCTGCCTTAAACAATTTTGTATCTGTTCAATCTAAGCCATTTTAAAAAATGGAGAAGGGAGTTTGTTTAAAAGGGAAATTCTCGTGTACTGTTTCCAAATATATCTTTCTACTATAGGATATTCAAGTTCTTTAAATATCGGGGGAAAAAAAGCCTGTTTTGCAGTATCACCATTAATGTTTTAGTTATTGCATCTTAGTTGTCAAAACTAGTTTTTCGCTCGTAGCAACCAGATCGCAGCATAAATTCATGCTGTCCACACCAATGCGGCAGTTGAGTTTAGTGGCTTGCGTCGCTCAGATTGGACCTTAAGGGTTTGTTTCATTTTACACCTGTACAAAACATTGTTTTGCACTCGTTTGAGGGCAGCCCTCTTAGGCTTGGAACAAGTCAACTCGCTGAAATGTCAGTCGTAACTCTGGACGCAAGATCCAACAGCACCAACAGATAATTTGCACCTGCCGAAAAATCCAAGCCATTTTGAAAGTTAGAGAAGGGGTTTTGTATGGAAGTATTGCTTTCCAGTATCGTTTTCCAATATCGTTTTCCATTCCAGCGATATTCAAACTCTTAACTATTGACGTGAGCACTACCACCTTAACAATGGCAGCACCGCATACTGTCACGCACTGGATGTAGTTAATTGTTCTGTTGTCGATCATCTGGCAAAGTTTGAAATGATCGGTAAGATTTATTCAGTTCTGCTTTAACAGCCATCTCGGTTATGCTCATAGTGCTACTTCTTTCAAAATTTTCATTTTATGGCTGTCCACGCTGATTTCTGCTAAAAAAAAAAAACCTCACCTGGTGTCAGATTGTCTTTAAAATACCAAAAATGATCCTGTAGGCATGCAGTGGTATAAATGGGAATGGAGCATTTGAAAAAAATTAATTAAAAAAAGTTGTAATTTTTTGCGCAATGCAATGTTGGATCGTATGACGCTTCACGTTTACCATTATTATCTGCATGATCCCCTTGGGATTCCTGCGAACAAAATGGCATGTAATAGTGGCAACCATATGATGTCATATCATCATGGCGCCTACCGGGAAATTCAAACACCAATACTGCTTGTGTTTGTACAATTTAGTTAATTTTTATTTTAATTTAATTTTTTTTAAAGACTGAAGACACTTTCATCTGTTTAACAACAAATTGTTTTACAAGTGGAGGCTTCTTTTTGCCCAATAACTCAAAGGGTGGTGTCTCTATTTAAGGGAACACATGACTACAGTGCCACGGAAGACAGAGTGCACCACATAGTACGCCAATAAATATTTTATTGCCTTTAATTGTTAAATTATAACAACTGAAAAGGTGTTTTAGAGGGCTAACAACTTTTCCAAAGCAATATCCCTCTGCATCTTGACACATCCAAGAAATTTAAAACCCTCTTTTAAATCTCATGAACCTTGATGGAATCTCTGTTCTTTGCAGTTGAATTCCTCCATCTGCATAGTGGCTTCCAAAAATTGGTTTCCCTTTGCTCTATCATCAGACTCAAGTAGGGAAATGAACTGGGTGACATCTCTTGCAAAGTTTTTCCTATGTAACCAAGTAACAGAAAAAAAAATTTTATTCATTCCAAGTTTTCATCTTTGATCTTTCTAGCTAGCCTGAGAAGGCCTTGTTTTCGCAGAAACCTTACAAAATTTTCTCTAAATATTCTTAGTGTCATCAAACTTGAACAAAATGATACTTATGTCCCACAGAAAAACAAAACAAAAAGGTAAAATGTTGACAACTAGTAACCATGTTGGGTGAACGGCATTATTGTCATTAAATTGCTACACCCCTCATTCCTTTTTTGTGATATAGAGTTTCTCAGAGATACTCAAAGTTTAAGGTGGTAGCAATCCAGATTTACTTTCTAGTGGGGGACAAGATATGTCCCGAATTTCAGTCAGGGTAACACTATGCACAGAAAAGTACCATCAATGCCATAATCACACCTTGACAGCTCAAACATTCACCAGTATACCAGGCCATTAACAATATATCTGACAGAATATTTTTGTTTGAATCTCTCCAGCATGTCTCACTCTCTTTATACTGGTTAGTCTTGTTCTATGATACACTTTTTGTGATATCCTACCTCGCACTGAGAAAAATAGGGTTTAGTTTAACTTGACCATCTGTACAATCAGAATATGTCATTCAATTTTATCCATCTACATATTTCTAAGGTAGAAATAAAATAAATAATAATCTTGCACCTCTTAATAATCAAACTAAAGTGTACTCACTTTTCAATGCCAATTGCTCTTTCTGTTTCCTCCTGTGGAAAAATAAATCACAGTTTCATTTAAAAGAAATCTGAAAAGACCAAGAAACAAACCCTAATGCTGACTAAGGAGGAGTTCAAAGTTTATATAACTTTGAGTTACATATACTTGATCTGATGAGGGTGAGGAGGCAAAGAGCATGAGCCAAACTAACATGGACAACTGAGATTGGTGGATAAACAATGAGACTGCATGAAACTAGGACCAGATTCAACAGCTGCCAATGGACAGGCCCCATAGGCATTTATTGGTAAGTCACAGAAAGAAATGATTTTGTGGGCCCAGAGGCTTGGAGTAAGGGAGAACACTGGCTGGTAGACCTACCAAATGGTCAATCAATGACACACTCTGTGCCAAGGCAAAACCAAAAGGAGAGTTGACAAAAATCCACTGGCGGAACAAACCATTGGTAAATTATCAAAAATAATTTCTAAAGTTAAAATTTGGAAAAGAGGTACCTTGTGTGAGGAAATATAATTGTAAAGACCTGACACTTCTGGATCAGATACCCCACCCCAGCCAGGCAAAGTTCAAATTCCCCATGCCCTTGACATGGATGTGAGTTGCCTTGAAGAGGGGGAGGGGAAATTGAGGCTTCAAATTGATGGATGCATTAGGATACTGCCATAACAAAGAAATATTTTATTTAGGGTTTTGTACTTAATAAACAACCTTTTTCTGGCGCAGATGTTCAGCTGTTGCTGATAGCTCTTGTCTCTTTTTGGATGAAACAACTCCTCGGATACCAAACCATCTAAGGTCTAGCTCTTTCTCCGCCAAATGCTGGTTTTTAAGCACAACCAAGCCCTGCAATGATTTCAGTTCTTCTGCAAGGTCTTGAAATTTTTGCTGGAAGTCCTGGATTTCACCATTTACTAACAGGATATAACAAGAGAGTCTGAGAAGTGAGTTGATGGGATCTGTAAATGGTAAATGTTTTTTTTTTTAACAGTAAAATTAAAGGAATGGGTGCAATATCCTGATGAAAAAACTAAGTATTCTTAAAATTGTATCGTGCAACTTGGTTAATTCTTTTTTACTTTAACCAGCCCTGATTATAGTCTTAAGTTCTTTTACTATAATCAGCCTTAGTTGTAGTCCAAAGATACCCCCAGAAAGCTGCCAAGCTTTGTCTACATTAATTGTAACTAAATCAAACTTAAAGAAAAGATTTACAAAATTTTACATGAATTGACAAGAATTAGTGTAAAATTCTTGGAAACTGGGTGAGATGCTGCTCCAAAATTTTACCTTACACACTACAGTAGAGCACTCTCAAAAGAACTGAAAAATGGTTAGAGTTTGTGAAGTTTGAGTAAGATGATAGTAAATTACTGAAAAATGGGGTGAAAGGATATCAAATCTTGTTCAAGTTTTCAGGGGGGTTCAAGTTCAACAGGTTCGAGTTGGTGGGGTCCTTCAGTAATTCCACTGCTTGTTCACATCTACGTGTTTATTCATCTTGAGGTAGCAAAATCAAAGCTTTCCCAAACACAAAGCTTTGCAGGCAAGGAATAACACGTCAAGAAAAAGAATTACCAAGGTTTGAAGCATCAGTTTGGTTAACACAAACCAAAACATGCTGTGAATGAAGAGGAAAAGGTGGGAATAAATGATCTAGAGAGCACAGGTACCAATTGTCAGAACAGATTCAGATTCAGGTTCAGAACAAAAGCTAATCAGTCTTGAGATTTCAAATGTTCAGATGAAAGGTGCGGTTAAACTGCAGATGGCTTAGAACGTCATTTTTTAAACAACGGCTAAACTTGTTCAATAACCGGCCCAATGGGTTTAATGATTACGCCATTATTTATAATCACTGCAGAGTTGAGCGGGAACTGCGCGCCTTTTATTTGGTTGTTTTGTTAAGAGGTTTCGTGAACATTTAGAGGTGAAATTTATTCTCAGTTGTATTGACTCAGCTACTAACCTTTCCGCAGTATGGAAAACCGTTCCCGAATCCTCTCCTCAGACTGTACAATTTGCACGAACAAGTCATTAAGGACACTCATGTTACTGACCGATTGCAGAGTTCCTGAACTTCACCGCCGATTTGAGCCTGCTGCATGTGAGCTTCTGCGCATGTGAAAGATCAGGGCAGCGGAGGAGAGAGGTTGATCGATGAACAGAACCGGGTACGGGCAAAGTGTGATGCTGTCGACTGGAACCGGCTTCGAACAAACATTGGCTTATCCTTTAGGTTTTTTTTTCTTTTTTTAACATAGCCAGTGATTTTAAGGAAAGTATTATTCGCTTCCATCGACGATTGATGCACGAGAATTTACCTCTGCTCAGTCAGTTTTGAATGGCAACGAAAGCCATCGTAAGTAAATTCAAAATGTATGTTTTGAATTTGTGAGAGTCTGTTCGTTTGTTTGCTGCTATGACGTGTGTAAAACTTGTCTTTCTTCCACCGGAAAGCTGAAGGCAAATGAGGCACTTAATCTGGACACAAGGGATTAAATGCGGCGTTTACCCATTGATTTCCGCCGACTTCTTTGCGAAATAAAGTAGAAATGTCCAAATTCAACGGACTAGCTAAGACTAAGTGTGTTTGTAGTAGAAGAGGGTCCCGAATAAATGTTTTCTCAATCCCGTAATCCCGATGGTTCATACCGGCCAATCCCGATCATACAATTTTGTCTTAGTCCATTTCCTAAACATAGGTAGGCATTTACGGTGGCTTATGATTTTCTCAACCTGCATTGATCCGTTGAAGTCTATGGTTACCGTAAGGGGTAAGTTTATCTCTCTTCACCAAAGTAATGATATTGTTCATTTTAAGAAGTTTTCAAAGTTTTGCACTAATAACGTTCGTTGGTTACCGTAAGAGCTTCCTTCTGTTAAACTTCGATCACGGACAAACGTATTAGTACAGACAGGTCGGTATCAAAGAAATGAATAACAATATCAACAAGTGCATAAAAACAAAAGGTGATGGCAATCCCATAGTTTCATAACATGGAAGATAAAGACAAAGCAACTGAACACAATTCTGCTGTTGAGGAGAATACTTCTAACGAAGCGGGAACCTCTTCCGAGGTGAAAATCAGCCTCTTGTTCCAAAGATGGAATGTCACCATTATCACTAGGGGAATCGTACTTTTTTATTCCATCTTCCTCTTCGTCTTGTTTTCCGCTGTTTTCTTGCTGCTACTCGAAGTCAGAGCGTTCGAGGCGGACCAGTTCGATCGGCTTAATTTCTCTCTGATAGAGGAACGAGAGGGGAGTTCCAGTTCTTGCCATCGTTGTTTCCTGTTTGACAGAGCGCTGAAGCACTACTGCGACAAATGTTTACGCTCAGTCTCTCCTCTTCGGTATGCTATGTGGTGCCATCGGTACAGGTGGTAACGGTTAAATTAATGGTATGGCCGACAGGATCATGGCACGTTCAAGCACAGGTTATCAAGAATTTAATTTGTTAAATAGTACGCCGCCCAATGGGTTTTCCTTTTTAAGCCTTCTTTAGCTACATTAGCAAAGTTTCTTGGGTAATCTAACACCGTGAAACGTTGATCTTTGTGATGTCAAAAGATTAACTGAATATTCTTCACGTCTAGTGTCATGCAACTCAACACGTTAAGAGCGTCAAATTGGTATAATTATGAGACTTCCTGGAGGTTTTTCAAGGGCGTTAAACATTTCAACTGACGTAGCAGTCTTAGATGCCTCGTTGCCCTCCGGGCCATTAAGGATTTTTGGTAAATTGGCAACTTCGCTTCTGATATAATTTTCATTCCCGCGCAATAACAGCCCGACCGCTGCCTGTTCGCTTAGTGCTTATCATGAACTGAGAAAATAAATTTCTTCATAAATTCTCGTCAACGGATATCCCGGTTCTTGGTTCGTTGAAGTGATTATTTTCCGAATCCCGCTTCCCGAACCCGCCGATTCCCGTATCCCGCTCATAATGGCAGTCCCTTCTCACTTAAAATTCCCGGATCCCAGCCTTTCAATAATCCCAGTCTAGGATTAGGAACCCTAGTAGAACTCACAACTTAGCGCAACGTTTTACAAAAAACAGATTGTTTTGGATAATTCAGACATAAAATGAAAGAACGCTACATTGATTAATTTAACAGTAACCAAATACCTCACGTTTTAACTTTCTTAGTTATTTTTTTGAAAGATTATTAAATAAATCACAAACGGTTTATAGGCCACGTGTCAAGTTATCAACCCATTTTGTGAATAATACATTTGCCTGTGCCACCACAGAACTCGATATATCGGTATCCAGTCAATTCGCCACCACAACAAACTCGCCACCACTTCCATTATGTGTAGCCTTTCGTATGAAACTCACATTAAATGAAAGCCTGGATGTAGTGGTACATTGCGAAAAGGGAAAGGGAGTCAAAAGATATGCGTTGCCTCTCAATTATGGAACGTTAACCATTAAATGAAATAAAATTTGTTGATACCACAAAAATTACAATCGGTTTGCGTAAAGCGAAACCAGAGTGACATTCGCAAAGTGATTTTCCACGATGTTTATGAAATCGTATGAAACTTGCATCAAATAAAGGCTAAGAAGTAGTAGTATACTGCGACAAAGAGCGTGCACAAATACAGCAAAGTTGAAAGAAACACACTTGGTATAGTTATACCATGGTATGGTTATACACTTGGTATCCTTTCTTTGTTTAAAGCACAAAGAATGTCGATGTGACCTTTAACGCGGGTTCTGTCCTTACAAACACAATTCGGAATACAGTAAATGGTTTGAACCCGGGGGTAACATGTAATAGTGTAGTTTGATCTCCGGGTGAGTGTAGTCCTGAGAAGGACTGTTGTCGGTAGTGGTGACTGACGTTTCGACAACCTGAGCGAAAGTCATCATCAGAGTCAAGTGAAAGGTTGTTGTCAGTCGAATGTACTTAGTCCGGTTCTTTGAAAAAACACGGTTAAGGTACTTGTTCTAATTGCGCTCGTCGGGTAAGAGTCCTGATAGTAGTGGCTTTGTGTGATGTCGGGTTGTAGGATGACTTGTCCAGTAATCTGTCGGTATGTGTCGGTTTGTCGAGACTTCATCCAACGTAACACTCACAGATCTACTACTACTTCCGAAGCTAACGACAACGCAACTCCTACGACCACAGCTACTATACCATACATAAAGGGCATATCTGAGAACATCTCACGCATCCTACAACCATTCAATATCCGCGTCGCTCACAAACCTATTACCACACTACGTCAGTTACTGACTTACATCAAAGACAGAGACGCATCGAGGAACAGACAAGGAGCAGTATATAAGATCAATTGCTCCGTTTGCCACGCCTCCTACATCGGTGAGACTGGCAGAAACCTCGCAACTAGACTGACTGAACACAAACGAGCGACGAGGAAAGGCGATGTCAACGATCACATTGCTGAACATCACCGATTTACGAACCACACTATTGTTTAAGACTGCGCAATGCCTAACCTACAGCACCAACTACTTTCAACGACTGACCCTGGAAAGCTGGTTTACGAACTTGGAACAGACTCCCCTCAACAGGCGTCAACCACTACCGGCACCATACAAACGACTCATCCACGACATTAACATTACAAACGAACCGAACAGAACGACCTAACTTCACTAACCGATCCAAACCGACCAATCACGACTGACCTACGCTACTTGAGTCTTACAGCTAATAACATCACAGCAAAACTGACCAATCAGTGTATACAAACCGGACCAAGTACATTCGACTGACAACAACCTTTCACTTGACTCTGATAATGACTTCCGCTCAGGTTGTCGAAACTTCAGTCACCACTACCGACAACAGTCCTTCTCAGGACTACACTCACCCGGACGTTTGTTTTTGAGATTCGAAATATAGGCTGTAAGAATTTATATCTTTGGAATTAGCAACTACAACAATTCAAGAACATTAAGCAGAACTAACGACAGGTTCATCCTCGGAGACCCAGGGGCTGTGAGTCGCTTTCAAGTCAGGCCGAGAGAGCCCCTAGGGACGTTGTCTTAGCAGGCCAGTTCCAAACGGTCGCAATCGTTCTGGCTTCTGATTGGTACCAGAATATCTTTGTGTTTTTCTGCCCGATCAGAGAGAAGTATGCTTTAGAGTCATATTTTAACACGGAGATGCAAATGAAAGTTAGTTGCTCGCCATGCTTGTTTGGACCATTCGACGAAGCGTTGCTCTAGGTGCAAGTCTCAGCACATAATGTAAGAGAAATCGTTCATGTAATAGTGTAGTTTGATCGTCCGGGTGAGTGTAGTCCTGAGAAGGACTGTTGTCGGTAGTGGTGACTGACGTTTCGACAACCTGAGCGGAAGTCATCATCAGACTACACTATTACATGTTACCCCCGGGTTCAAACCATTTACCAGAAATCGTTCAGATTATCCACGACATGATTACCCGTAACCTCGAGTGTCATTGACACGATTATTGTACAATCTGCTGCTACATGACGTCCCTGGCACTGATTTCAGAAATTAACCGAACGCCTCCGCGTAATCAGAAGAGATAGTGAGTTGAATGTATAGTCATCTTTACTAATTCTGTTTTTTAACACTTCAAGAGATCTTCAGAGCCTCATGGTTGTTTGTTTACATATATGTAATGGCATGGTGATCCAAAAGTGCGTTTCAATAAAAGTTTACGAAGTTAAAGATATAATTATAACTCTGTTATCTCCCTATATCTGCTGCTGAATTTGCCATAAATCATAGACTTGTCACTTTTTAGGTAAGATTTGGGGTTAGGAAGAAGTAGGAACAATCGCTATTTCTGCAAAAAGACAACAAGGTCATGATTCGAGGCGAAAGCAAACATTTAACAACTTCAGACTAAAGTTAAATTTTAGTCACTTTCGCTAAAAAATTATTGATAAATATTAATGCACACATGAACTCATTGAGCAGCTGACAAGCCTGTCGAAAACGTGCTTATTCATGACGCATTACTGGAAATTTTGGCGACTTCGTAACACACCAAAAGCGCGGACAGCGCTCGAGCCAGTACTACTCTGCGTCATACATTGCACGAACGGCAGACCGCTTGTTTCATCGCCCAACCTCTACCCTGTGTTGCCCCTTCTTTCTCGCCCGTAGATATGCTCTTTATGGCTGTTTAAAATTTTGGCCATTTTCTGGCCAACCGTCGATTTCTTTCCGTTGCGATTAAAATAAAAATTTTTAAAGTTGAAATTTTCACGACTTACGGTTAAAATCTGTCAATATCTTTGTCTAATGGCCGATGTTTTTGCTGTTTTACAGCTGACAATTAACCCAATGAGATCCCCCTTTCAATACAGCTTGTCTCAAGATACATAATAAGTTTTTTCAAAAATCAATAATTTCGATTGTAATTTGAAAAAATCGAGTTAGCTGATGATAAGCTCGCTTTTCAAAATTAAGCAGAGGAATAGCGCGCAAATCACTTGCCAGAATAATCCATTCAAACCTTACAAACGCCACCGTGCGCTTGGTCAGATCAACACAGTTTATTCAAGACGACCCTCTAAAAGTTCTTTGTTGTTGTTTTAAGTCACAAAAAAATTCTTAACCCAGCTTCAAAGTTTGTTTACTTTTTTGCACCAAATTAGCATAGTTAATAACATGATTTCGAGTGCAATTCAGTGACATAAATTTGTCGTTGACATAATTAGTCATTGGCAGCAAACTTAAAGTTTTTTTGTTGTTGCTGTTTTTAAGTCGCAAAGAATTCTTAATCCGGCTTAACGAATTGTCAACTTTTTGCACTCAATAAGTATCGGTAATACCATGATTTCGAGCAAAATTCGGAGTAAATAAGCACGGGTCAATTTTTCAAAGACAAAAAAATTGCACGAGCTCGAGGGCAAGAGCAATTTGTAGTGTTTGAAAAATTTACATATGCTTATTACAACAAATTGCACGAGAAATCACGTTAATACTTGTTAATACTGTACATGAAAAAACATCGCAGAAACTCCAGACAAAATTTGAAAGCGTGCTACTTTGATTCGTGCATTCGTGTTACATGAGAATGCACTCGTTTTCAGCCATTCAAAAGTGCGCAATTTTTTCATGTACATTATAAACTGTATTATCTTCCATCTGTTTGTGTAAGTGAAACCTGCATTTCTCTCAAGCAATTAAAATTAAGAAATTTGTCCATGTATATCTTTGTTTGTTTCAATCGTACGAGTGATAAATTACGAGCAAGATAACTCACCTAACAATATAAGATAAAGTTGAGCGCTTCTGATTGGCTGAAAACAAAATGCACTTTTAATGTAACATGAGTGCAAAGTTGTACCACATGCGCAAAGTTGTAACACGGGTACAAATTACAAAAAAGCAAAAATATCAAATTACAAACGTTTTTGGTTTGGTATTGACATAATAAGTCCTTGGCAGCATGAGAAATTAGTTGTTGCTCAAGAAGAGTATAATATAGAGCGATTTTTCCATGGAAAGTGCGCATGATAGCAATTTGTTATAATAAGCACATGTAAATTTTTGATACGAAGCGGACCATCGGGAACATTCCAGTCTTTAAGTAATACATTCAACTGGTCTGGCTAACGATGAACAATTGTCACCTTCAACTTTCGGTTTACTGTACTTTTGAGCGAATCCAGTGCTTCTTGACTCCAAATCTGATGTAGACGACGAACGTTTGTAAGGCTTAACTCAAACAATTGTGCAGGGAGGTAAACAAAGTCGTCCTTCAGAGATCTCATCTTGTCAGGTGATACCGTTTAACTATTTCCAAAGTCTACAAACTGAACTAATTTCTTTCTTGATTCAAGTCATTCCAACACACATGCTCTGTACCATGTATCATCCTGCGAGAACAGTACAGAACAATCCTCACTGAGAATGAGAATAAACGTTAAGAAAGGTGCCGCAGATACACAGTATCGGTTCTTTTGCTCCGTAAATAAACGGAACATGTTGTGCGACTCAGCATGAAGGACTTGTCCCCACATTTCCCCTGGATGTGTTACCTCCGTAATTACAACATCGAAGTGTTCGTTTGAAAACAGAGTTTATACCTTCGAGTAAACGGATTGCACTTGAATGCGAGCAAGATCGTGCTCGACCATATCTTGATTGACGGAAATATGAGGAGGCAAATTTCTTTGGTGATGTTCAAACAGATGAACGCCTACGCTTTCTTCAGAAACGTTTTCAATCTGAGCAACAAACGTCTCACCCAATATGCGCCCTCTTAAGAAGTTAACCGCATCGGACGACCATGACTGCGACACGGGGAGTATGCCTGTCAAAAAACACTGCCTGGCTTGCAAAGGAAGTTGTGTAAATTCAGCGGTAATTCGTCTTACCGAATCAACTGTGACTGAGTCTTGATTACCATAATCCACGAATAACACTGACATCCTGGATTCTGACAGTTCCTGTTCAACTGCGGCTCGATACCAAACGCCGTCTTGGTTAAAACGGGCGCAACAAAGCTCCCCCAGAACTGGTTTATAGGGACTATTCTCTACCTCACAACAATAGGTATTTAATTTTCGTGAAAGAGCATCAAGTCCGTGAGCGTTTTCTTCGTTCAGGACTTGAAAGAAAATCTTGTCTGGTCGTTGAACCTCACTTATAAGAACTTGGATAGCGTCGCTCTGTGAAATATCCACCAAAGGGATTTTGGACACATAAAAACGATTGCTGTTACCACTAAGAGCTTCAAAGGTAAACTGCGCTGTCCACGAAGCGTGTTCCCTTGTATTTACTTCTTCCTCAGACGTATAAACATCTTTTGGTGCACTTGAGAAATCTTGCCACTGAGCCATACCGTGATTTACAAGAAACTGGTTCAATGTTACTTGTTGTGGGGTAAGTGGAGATATAGCATCAATAAACAGCGATTCATTTTCTTTCTTTATCACTTTCACTTCCAGGCGGCTGAATAGGGGCACTTGGGAAAGCAACGCTTTACAGGTATCTTCCGCCCATCCAGTCGACTGCACAGGACCAATTCCGTATAATGAGCACTTTAACGCCATAGGTGGCAGCTTCTGAAAATTTTTCTCTAAAGGTCTTATTTGGGATGACGAACAGACTTTACTGTTTCCATAATCCAAATAATGAAGGTTAATTGAGCCATTCGCATTCACACTTTTGATGAAAGCTCGACACCAGTCCCCACTTTCGGAGAAAAATCCAGCACACAGAACGCTAGCCTGGGCCTTGAAAGGAGGATAGTTTGTATTATTATAGTGAGCATTCAGGTTTGCTGACAGATGCTTCATCCTTTCAACTTTCTCGTGGCTCAAAATCTGAATAAAAAGTGAAGAAGGAGACACAACTTCGGTTAGCATGGCATGAAAGGAATCGAAACCTGCAACTGACTGGATAGCTGGCTGAAATACGAGGGACTCAATGCTCCCGTGAGGTTTTGAAGTTGATGCATTCTCCAATGAATTCTGTATTTGCGAACGTTTCATCTCAATTTCCATTTGATTATCTTCGCGTTGGCTTTCATTTACAACTGACTTTGGAGCGAGCCCTTCGTTCAGCAGTAGTTGACTAAGAAACTGAGGCTGATCCTTTGAAACCATTAAGTCGACAAGTAGCATACCACGATGTTTGGCCATTATTTTGGCACTAACACGTTGAAAAAGGGGAACTTTTTCCTTGATCAGTTCCATTGTTTTATCTTCTCCTCCAGGAGATTCGGGTCGTGGCAAATTTGCTAATGAGCATGGTAGAGCGAAAAAAGGGTATGTTGTTAGGCTATCCATCAGAGGCTGGATACTTGACACCGGAAGTTTCTCTGTGTTCCCAAAGTCAACGTAATGTACCTCCACCAAATTCTGAGAAGTTACTTCTTTGATAAATGCACGGCACCAGTCACCCGTTTCGGTAAACTGAGCAGCACAAAAATGGTTTGGTTGAGGTTTGTAGGAACTTGACGGTGACGAATGATAAGACGAATTCATCTTCTCTGAAAGCTTCTGTAAGCTAAGGGCAGTATAAAAGTCCATTACTTGTATGAAGAAAACACCTGATTTTGTTACCTCCGTGATCATAACATCAAAAACTGAATTGTCTTGTGGTAAAACAGCTGCCTGAATTGCGGGGCAGAATACCAAGGACTCCAGTGCGCTTGAGGCGTGCCCTTTACAACGGCCGTTTGAAAGGACATTTCGGTCAACTGCCACCAATCGTCTAGCTGTTGGCGTAGACTCTTTCACATTCAGATGCCGATGTTGGTAGCCTTTCGCCATTGCTCTTGCTAGCCCCCGATTTACCAGCATTGAACTTACACTTTCATCTTCTACTTTCACCTCCAAAAATAGTATTCCTTTCTGTCTTCCAACCAAGCGAACTGTCCGTCTACTGAATAACGGAAGATGGGCTTTAACGAACGCCACCGCTTCATCAGACCATTCCGATTTGTCAAGAGAGGCAATATTTGCCAACGAACATCTCAGTGCTAAAAATGACAAGGCACTGGAATCAAACTGAGGAATTAGAGGCCGTAGGCGACTTGGTGGAAGTATTTCAGTGTTTCCGTAATCTACATATTGCACAGAGACAGACCCATCAGGAGAGACTCCTTTGATAAATGCTCGACACCAGTCCCCGCTTTCAGCAAAGTGCGCCGCACACAGGCTATTCTGGCGTGGAACAAAAGGTGGGTAGGTCGCTGAGTTATAATGCAAATTCATATCCTCGGTCAACTTGACAGCAATCTGCAAAGATCCTACCGTTCCTAGCTGAGAGAAAATAAGCCCAGGAGAAACCACTTCAGTTACCAGAATATCAAATTCAGAATCTTGAGCCAACGTCACTGCTTCGATGGCTGATTCAAAGACAACAGATTCTATTCTTTCCTTTTCAGTCATGTCTAGTATTTGATCTTTTGGCAACGAACCTCCCCCATCAATGTTGGGCCATAGTTGGCTCAATGGATCTGTGACAACATTCGAAGGGTCCTTGTTCACTGAATTTTCTCCATTTCTCAAACGCTGTGGCGTTATAGATAGCATCTCCCTTCTTGAATTAATTTGTTGTTTATGACCCTCTTTGGGTAAGAATGGATCGGCAAGACCTGAGTAAAGTTAAGCATAAATACTTTGGTTAGCTTTGAGGCACGCAGACCTGGATTCCCTCAGGCAAACCTGGTATCCACTATCTACAGAGCACGTGAGCAAAGTGGAAATGGTCACAGAAAAGATATTTCCCCCTTACGGTCGCTAAGAGAAAGCGAAAGCTTTTATTCAGTTTGGGGAAAATCAATGACTAACATTTCTTCGTGATCACAACTAGATGTCATCTCTCAGTTGTGATATGTTTTGGTAATATGTGCCGTCAATGGCGTCTCAGAAAGGCTCCCATTAATGGCATAAAACTTGAAATGGGGTTTGAACTGTCCACTAGAGGCCATATCTGTTTGTTCATGTAGTTGTACCAGACAATACTGAACAGTGAACATCCCACACAGCAAACGGTAAGCTGTCCCTTAACATTTTTTTGCCCGCTCGTGGCAAAAATATTTAAAGGATAATGGGCACAGAAGTCTCCAGAAGCACGATATGCTAATATATTTATTCTTGGACATTATCTGTTCCTTATAACTCACAGTTTTCCTCGAGCTGCGCTCTCGGAAAACTCTTCGCATCTCGGAAAACTCTTCGCATCTCGGAACAGATAATGTGCGCGAACAAATATCCATGCATATTTTCGTGCCAAATGAAGACGTTTCAAAGAAACCAATAAAAAATAACTTATTAACATATACCTGCCCCTATTAGTGAGTTGGCTATTGACTCCTCTCCACCACGGTTTGGATCAAGTAATTCAACAATATTGGTGACTCCATGCGTGTAAACAATCCTACACAAAAATGTTCTATCAGCCACCAAAGCCTTGAATTCTTGTATAGCCTCCAGGCTCCAACCCTGTGTCTTTGGTTTCTTCACACCTGCTAGTGAACAAGTCAATGAAAGTGGGGGTAATCTCTGAAACTCTTGAGGTAGAGGCCATACGTTGCCTTCTTGCACCACTTCACTGTTTCCAAAGTCTACATAACGAACCTTATAGCCATCGAGAACTTGTTCTAAGACAACAGCACGATACCAAACTTTATCCTGCGAGAATTGGGCAGCGCACATATCACCGGGAGAAAGACGTGCTAAACATTCGACAGTACAAGGATTCTTGGATAGGTGATGATTTAAATTTTCCATTAATGATCTCAGCTTGTCTATCAATTGTTTTTCAGTCTTCATTGCGTAGAATTCCCATGGATTCACAATGGCGTTGACGACGATTTCAAATGGCACTTTACCTCCCTTTGATTGACTGTGAAGTCTAGGAGGATTCCTCCCTTCCTCATACGGATGAGTATTCAACGGCCTCTTCGCAGAAATGTCGCCAAAATAAGGTGACTTGTCAGAGCTGCCTATTTGTTCCGCGCACACATCGTGTTGTCCATGTGATCCGTCGGCTTGATCTCCTTGACTCTTTATTTCAGCAAAGCCAGCTTTTATTAGGGTTTTATTGACTGTTTCACACATGCGTGTTCCATGAGCAGCTGACAATTCCACAAACAATGTTTCATCAGCTTGTTCACGTACTCGAACTTTACACCTTTTCGCTAAGATTTCACTCTTTAGAAAAATGGTTGATTCCAAAGACCAAACACCTGATGGAGAGGTACTCGTGATTCCATACAGGGACATCTTGAGAGCTTGTCTGGGAAGACTGAGTAGGTCCTCTGTTATGCGACGTATTTTGTGTACTGCGATGTCCTCCTGATTACCGAAGTCTATGTATGTACATCTCATGGTTCCTGCACTGATAACCAAATCAACTTTCACTCTATACCAGCAATTGTCAAAGCTAAATTGGGCAACGCATACTTCACCAACACTTGGCGCATAATTTTCAAACACAGAATCACGGTATGTCGCTTGAAGAATACTCTTGAGTTGGTTTCGTCTTTCAAAGGCGTCGGAGGCACACGAATGAACCCACACGCAGCTTGGGTTTTCAACTTCTGTAACAACAACTTCAAAATCTTCTGTTGAAATTTTATCCATCTGGAGCTGCTCAAAAGGGATTCGCACGGGACCCTTGCTAGAGGACGGAAGCTCTGAGCAAGATGTTTCTGAATCTGTAACGGCCACTTTTGAAGTACTGACTGATTCTGGGGATAAACTGGTTTCTGACTTTGATTGGTTCACTTGGCTTTCTTGGCTTGACTTCAGCAGACCCGTTTCGGCATGTAGCACCTGAAGACCGGAGTCTTCGTGCATCAAGTTGCTTATAAAGGATGGAGATGTTGAGGTATCAGCGCTGTCGCTGTCTTCACTACTATCCACAGTCGTCACCGGATTTGGGTCAAAACCCATCATCTGGGCAAACATCTCAGCATTCTGTACATCAAATTCATCACTCTCTGCTACCCTCACACTCTCCTGATCTACTTTCTTAGAGATCTTTTCGCCATTTTTTTCGGAATTCGTGGGCGTCTCAGAGATAGTAGGTTCCTTACTTGGATACGTTGAGTTCTCACAAGGAGTAAATGGGTGAGTTGGAGTAGCTTGCTGCACAGAATCTGCTGCTCTGGTCAAGGCAGAAGCAGTTTCCAGACATGTTTTCGAAGTGTCTGCAAGGGTGGCTGTTTTTCTCTCAGACCGAGTTTGTTGCCAGCAAGCGTGTTTGTGCTTCGGCCAGTCATTTCTCTGACAGTCTCGACTACAGTACGGAACTTTGCACGCTGAGCACCACTTATGTCCTAACTGGCCACAAAAGCTACATGGACTTCCTTTAGGAGAAGAGGAGAGAAAGAAGATATCAGTCAATGCTGTGTCAACAGTATGGTTGTAAAAGGCGTTTAGGGCAAAGGTTACTAAAATCGTGCTTCTGTATTGACTATTGGGTTAAACTTTGTAAGAAACCAACAGCGAGTAATTTGACTTCAATCTGACCAAGACTTTCAGTTACCTTCGGATATAAGCTTGGAATTAGGAAAGACACTTGATACGTCATCTAGAGCAGCTTTATGTTCACTGTTATAGGGCAAAAACAAAAACATCAAAAGATGTGGATATGAGGGTGGTATGACGTAAATAGTGTCATAATAAACCACTCAAATAACAGCAACAACAAAAAGAAAATGAAATTATTGACGTAACATTGTATCATACAGAAAAAAAGGCAGACCTAGTGAAAGGAAAAAGGCTTGAACCAAGAGCAATGACCATATTTCCAACAAGCAAACAAAAAAACTGCTGGGATACTGACGATACACACAATAAAACTTTCACTTCAATCCAGAGGAAGTAGTTTTTCTTAGGATGAACTCTTATGATTCTTCCACGCTCTAACAACTTTCCCGCGTGCTTTAAGTTAAGTTCTTCATCTCACCCTCTACGATCTCGAGGTAATTTTTTTGAATAAGTAATCGAGCTTGTTTTAATTTCAAATTTCAGCCAATCCCCTTTCGCCCTGTGAAGGCTGTCTCTTCACAAATGTTTAACAGAAGTTTCCAAGTCAAAATCCTAATTAACATAATTTCATTGAGACCCTAGCAAACAATTCAAGCTCTCAACTTGCAAGTAGGATTTTGCTTTTACCTGGAAACTACTTCATGATCAGTATGTACTTCTTCTTTATCATTTACACCATCGCCCTTTTTCTCCACGGAGTCTGTGAAGGCCGATTTCTGCTTTGACAGTGCAAGTGCAACCTTCAGACGGTTACCATGCCCCAAATCAAGTCCATCAAACATTTGTATTGCTGCCTCTGCGTCACGTACAGTATTAAAGCCCACAAATCTGAAGTAAAAACCGCACGAGGTTGCACTTTAATCATTCATACATTCATTTAAAACATGGTGGTACACAATATATGACTATTGTGAGAGTATGTTCATGCCATACGCCGCACGATACTTACTGTAATAATGGGAAACTGTCCTAGGAACTGTTAAAGTAAACGATTGTGTAAAATAAAAAAAAATCTCCTTTTGATCAGATGTCGTCTCACAAAATTGAGCTTCCATCATAAGAAGCTCTGACTTATCTCGCTCTCTTATTTTCAAATGGTGTCCCTTTTGCCCATGCCAACGATAATAGTTTGCAGCGGTAAATCGCTCAAAAAGGCCCTATTTTGTACCTTTTTTGCCCTTTCTGGTGGAACCTTTTTTAAACACTTGCCTTGTTCGTCAAAACAATTTTCTCTGGTAACCGTGATAAAGCATAAAGCAATTAAGTTGCTGTTCTGCTGCACGGAAGTGACTAGTTCCTGGCCAATAACATCCAAGTTGGCCAATCAGCAAGTGCAAAAAACACTGTTTATCAGCGTGGTATATACATGTAGTAATTTATGCCAAACTCGCTTTTAACATATTTGGCTTATTTCAGCTTGTTACAGATGTGATTTAAAGTTAGTTATCTCTCATTTGGCTTAGACTAAAATGACTCTGAGTTGGACCCAAAACGTATTTATACCCATAAACATAGACAATACTCCTTTGATGCATGGCCTATAAGATAAGTTAAAGCCTAATGTTAGAGCAAATTATTTTCCTGTGCAAACAGCCCTAATGCACTATAAAAATAAAAGTACCTTACTTCTTTGGTTTGCAATATTTTTGGAAAACAATTCATCCTGTGCAACTCAATTCACATAAGAAAAATATTCAGTTTGACACAAAAGTAGATAAGAAAAATGACTGCTACATGTATTACCCAATCTTAGTGCTTTTATTGCGCTGAGGAATCAATTTACAAGACCTCAGTTGGCCAGCCTGTTGGAAGAGGTTCTGCAAGCCTTCCTGCATATAAAACAAAAGGAAACATTCTTGAAGAGTGGAAGCAGTTGGTATTGTGGGCCCTTTTTGTTGTTGTTATTATTTACCCTTTAACCCCTTAGAGTGCCTAGCATCTAATTTCCTCCACAATATCACCCCTGAAGCAAACATTAAGCTTATGAGAATAAAGAAAATGATACCAACAGAAAGAGGCTCTTGATTGTTAAACGAGTTCTCCTTGTCAATACCAAAGAAAATGTATGAAGGAGCGTATGGAGAATATGGATACCGATGTTGAGGTGCAAAGGTTTAACCCAAAGAGGTCCATCTGTTTGGGTTCAGTGCAAGCATTACCTTTTAATTTACACTGAGGTTTGCATTCCAAAGAGAGAACTGAAATTATATGTTTTCTAGGTTAAACGTAGTTGATTTTATGAAAAAGAGACATTTGTGGAATTCTAATATGTTGATCATTTCTGCATTAAATCATTGATTACTTAAAGAATTGTGGCAAAGTCATTGGAAGAAAGATATTCAGGACTTCTAGAATTAAGTTGATGAAACACTTGTGGCTGATTTGAAATGACTCTGGGAAGTTAGTTTATTTTGCATACAGAAATGTAGGGTCCTGAATTGGATCTGCTTTGAATTTACTTTGAGACTAAAATGTCCCTAAGATGAGGTCACCTACAGTATTGTGCAAAAGTTATGCAAACCTATGTTGACAAAATTTGACTTAAGTCCAGGCTTCTTGACAAACTTTGGTCTGAAACAAAATTTGCAACAAGGCCTCCATCAACCTAAAATATCACTGACCACCATTCTCACTGACATTCACCGAAAATGTGAAAATACACATTTGTAAATTAATCCCGTTCTGAAGTTTGCCATTTCCAATAAATGCAGTGCATCACACTAAGTATAGGTAATAACATATTTTAGGTGCAATTTGGTGTTAATAAGTACCAGTAAATATTTTACAGACAACAAAATTGCATAGACCCAAAGGGCAAGTGCAATTTGTAGTCTTGGAGAAATTTACAAGTGCTTATGTACTGAACAAGAAATCATGTTACTTGTTAATAATTGACATGAAAAAAGCATCACAGAAAGTCAACACAGACAAAATTTTGACAGCACGCAAGCACAATTTTTAATTTGCATTCATGTTACAACTTGCACCTGCACTTACACTTGTGTTACAAGAAAAATGCACTCATTTTCACCCAATCAGACAAGTATAATTTTATCATGTATATTTTTAGAAGGGATAATCTGAACCAAGCAAATGAATAGTCACAAAACTGAGGCCATGAATTGAGAAATAATTGCATTTGATTACATTACAGTTGGTGTGGAAAAAAAATTTTGTGTTGAGCAATATATTTCCAAAGTCATAATAATCAGTTGCTAGCACTCGACACCTTGATGTTAGGACTTAAAAGGTCCCATCTCAGGAAATCCAGCAAAAAACTGCAAAGCCCATTTTCCAGAAAGGCTTAATTCAAACCAAGGAATGAAGGGAAATCAATCAGTGCTAAATAATGCAAAACTATTAACTGTAAATTTCAACACAAAGAAAAAACAATGCAAATGTGTAAAGTGACACCCATCATTAAAACTAGTTTTGATCACAGGAAAACACATTCAAGACAAATTTTAAAAAAAGGAAAAATCTACTTTCATGAGCTTGCAAACAGCTTAAATGTCAATAAATACTCCAAAATGTTCCATGTCCATTAGATTTTCCTTTTGTTTGACCCTTTCTTGGATTTGTTGAACACTTTTGTCTCATGAACTTCATAAATATTTACTCAACTTCTCCTTCTTTCATTTATCCAAACTTTACTCTGTTAAACTGGGGCTCTAATCATTATATGACAGGTAAATCAAGCATGCTGAGTGGAGAATTGTTTTGTTTTACTTTCCCAAATGGACTTTTGACCAAAGGCCAGCTTAAATAATTATGCCTTTCATTGCAAACTTTCGTTCAGTAGCAAAAATTTGAAGAAATACTACTCTTTGTTCTGGCAAAATGACATGAACTGCAGGAGAGAATCTTTGCGTGAACTTTCACACAAAAGTTCAATTAAACTTTGAGAAGAACAGTGAATGAAATTCTGTGATTTTTATTTGCATGACTTTGGCCATGCATGATGATTGACAGCTGTGCAATGTTGCAATGCTGTGTGGGACACTTTCTTTTTTTAGCCTTCTCTGGTGTGAAGATGGCGAACTCTGCTGTTATGAACATTATATGGCATGGGTTTATTCTGTAAAACAGCCCTGTTTACAAGTTTGAACCTCACATGCTGCCTAGCTAACAAAAATACTCTTTAAGGTTAATGAAATGTTGTCCTTTTTTGCTCAGCTATGGCTTGCATTTGTAATAAATTAATACATAAATAAATCCAAGTGAAGAATGATCCTTGCAAGTGAGCTGCAATTTAAGCAACTACAGAAAGGAAGCCCTAACAAATTCAGGCTTTGACAGACTTCTAACCTGTGCCTCTCTGATACCTTGCACTACTAACAACTGAGCTACAAAAACACATGTTGGAGGCAAGGCAAATGTTAAAGGTTCTTCACATTTCTTCACTTGAATTTCATTGGAAGGGCAACATGTAATTTGTTCCACTAAAACTGTAAATTAACAAACTTGAACCCTTCAAACAATCAAGACTTATTTCATACCTGAGTCATTTGCTGTGGAATTTTGCCTACAAAAAGGCAAGCATCTTTTTCATTAATTTCTAGGGAAGACATCATGTGTTGATGCACTGACTCACTTAAATTCCTGTTCGAGATGAAATTATAAGTGATTCCATATTTCACTTCACCGCAAGGGGCCATAGCACTGTGCACAAAAACTAATTTAACACCAAAGTTTTCAAAAAGAGAAAGTTATGCAAGTATGTAAAATGACTTAAGTAACACCTTACCAAACTATTCATCATCAAGAGCCCAAATTTTGGCACTTTTTACAAATTCTGTGTGACTGGTAATGCCAAGAGTGTACAGCATGTTAATCAGGATAATTGGACCTTGATGTATGAACAGTTGTTGATGGGGGCTAGCATGCCTATCCTCTAGATCAGTGAACTATAGTAATTGTAATTATATTTAATTAAATATTTATAGGAAAGTTGAATTTTTGTTCAAACAATATCACACATGTTCGCACCCCCTTAAATATAAAGATTCTATTGTGGTCCAAATCAGAAGCCAGTTTGATAAATTTGACCTTATTAGAGACAATTTAAAGGGATACAAGGAAAATATTAACAACAAATTTCTCACATTGTAGGATAACTGCAGTGATAAAATTGAGTTTAGTTTACATTGTTGTACAACATGCTGAAGCTAGATCTAAGCAAAACACGCTTATCAAACACAAGATGGGAAGGGTGGGGTTTGGGAGAATTCAAGAGAGTTATGCGAACAAAATATGCAGTTGAGGGTTTGCAAAACTTTGAGTATTCTCCAACCTCCCAAGCACCACTACCCTATGATACTGAGTCAGAATAAAGTGCACTTTAAAACTTATGCCTCATGACTGTACTTTAAATACCTACCCTGGAAAAGCATCTGCAAAATCTGTTATGCTTGGTTCTTTATAGCTGTTGAATGCTTTAGATTCATAGTCATCAAGCATTGGATTCCAAGAATCTAGATCTTTCAATTGTTTGTCATTTCTGGATGTATCTTCCTCAGACAATGTGCTAAAAAAAAAGAGAAAAGGAGCAAGAGTCTAACATCAAGCAAAACTTCCAGAGCTGTGCAGACTCATTGCCTGACAGGCTTCTGGCCCAGAGGACAGGCCCCAAGGAGGCACAATAGAGTCCCCAGCGTATAGGGAGAAATATGAAATGATGTATGACCAATAGAGTAGGTGGAAAAATCTCTTTTTGTCCTGAATGTGGCATGGAGAGGCAAGGTTCCGACCGGCTGATGTTTCCAGGATCCTTGGCATTTCAGGACAAAACCATTCATCATCATAGACTTGAGTTTGGACTGCCCGTTGAGCAAGATGCAGAATATTCTGACATATCCCATGAAGAGCTGGACAGCCATGTTCAACAAAATATTAAGAGTTACATGTACACCAAGTTCTAGACTACATTTTCTTGAAGGCAGATTGTAGAAAAGAGGATTGTATTCAGCCAAGACACATTAAGGAGTCATTAAGAAAAGTTGATCCAGGATCAACAGCTTACCTAAGATACACAAGCTCAACATACCATTAAGACCTATTGTATCATGTATTAACACCTTTGCTTACAATTTGTTGCCTCACCTAAGTTGATATCCCGTTCCCCTTAGCAGGCAAGTCAGACTGCTTAGTTATTTACTCTAGACACCTCATGTGTAGAGTTAATAACACTAGGTTAATGCAAGGTTAAGTTTATTTATTGTGACCCTCACTGGTACACGCATAGGGTCAAAGAGGCTATCTATGACTTCATCCCAACAACATCAATAGGGATAGCGGAATTGAAATTCTTGAAGCTTGAATACCCACAATCAAGCAACACAACAGCCGATTGATGTAAACCTATGATGGAACACCATCTAATAATGGGAATAACAATGAGGATCGAAATGCACCAGCAGCAGCAAACCAAAATGCTACAAACAGTAACATATAAACAATTGACCTCATTGCCTGATGAAGACTAGCAGCATCGCAATTAACATCCAAATTGACTACATCATGAAACAAACAAATATTGTTCATCTCCCAAAAATTCGGGTGTTAAAAAAGAGCCAGGGGAAGTTTAAGTGACAACTGTTACTAGTTTTATTAGGTTACAGTTATATTATAAATATACCACTGCAGTGGCGAAAATGATGGGTGATGTAAAGGTTTTACCTATCTGTAGTAATTGAGAGTTTTCAATATTGAAATTGATCATCTGAGTTTGCAATATATTGTAATCAATAATCTTTGAAAATAACAGATTGATTTCCATCGCTTTTTGAAATTACACGAAAGATGACTGTCGATTCAATCGACTAACATGTATATCGATTACTGGAATAAGATAGCATCGATTTGTTAAGTCCTGCGTACTACAGTGGACAGCCATCCTCGACTACTGATATGAAAAACTGTCGATAAATGAACTGAAACAATCAGCAAGCCAGGTAAGGCTTGTTTCTGATGGGAAGCTGAGTTGCATTGACCTCAATTAGAGGCGAAATGTCTACGGGCGACACGGTCACAAAGCAAAAACACCAGATACAAAACCAGGAACCATACAGTCAAACCTACCTGTCACTTTCCGAACTTTCCTTCGACAAGACATTTTGCTTCCCATTGCCATGTTCTGTCACTGGTGTATTTTCTGTCTTTTCCATCGACATAAACTTCACAGTATGCTATGGTTTCCAAATGAATGATAATTCTCTGTATTTGTTTACTTCGAGTGTGCACAATTACTCTCAGCAGTGTTTAGTCGTTTTCGATTTAACAGTTCTTAGGTAAGACATTTTTCTATACTTCTGCAAAAGAGACAGAGGACTGCTATTGTTTCTTTCTCCAACTGAGCGCAGTGAACTTAAGCCCATGTGTTCGAACTCGAGGGAGGTCATTTTCCACGACGAAACTAGTGGTCAGCGGCGCGCTTCGAATGAGTATTCCGTATTCGTCAAGCCTGACTAGCACCATTCTTACAGTGGATTCGCACCAAAAAAGTAACCCTACTTTTGCTTGTCGCAACATGCTATCGCATCAGCTAAGCAAATCTCGTTTTCTACTTAGCAAATAAAAACTATTTAATTTTACGTTTACTTACATACCTTGAAATGTTTTCATAGACTTCACACCGAATTGATGGCTTTTTTGGTGGATATGGGGCGCGCATTTTATATAAGTTCTGTTACTAAAATTGTTTTAAGCACAGCGGCAAACCGATTTATTCCCCTGTTACCTCATGGCTCGCTGGTTTTTTTCTCACTTTGCTTACGAATTCTTAGACTATATTTGTTGGAGCTACGTGAACGAAGAGCCCGTAACTAGGCTAAGAGCTCATAACATGGCTCCGTTCAGCCAATTAGAAATGTAGAAATTCAATACGATTTATTAACTGAGTTGAAAGGTGATGTTTCGAACGCTAGGCCTTCGTCAGGGTGAATACGAAGGGCTGACTTCGGAACTTTTCAGAGCTTTATCCATAACCCTCACTCTTGTTCTTGAACACTTAAAGCGTTCTTCATCCTCATTCTTGATGTAAATGAAGGCCTTCTTTTTCGGAATGAATTCTCGTAGTTCGATGTAAGAGCTGCTGTTTAACGGTTTATATTCCGCAAGATGGATGTCAAGTGATATTACCTTCTAAAATCTCCAGTTGTGTCTCCTTTGATTAAAATTCTGAAGCCTCTCTTGAATGGTTTCCATGAAAATGTCAAATTATTCAAGTTTTTTAATACTTCAGTGTGGAAAAAGTCATCTTGAAGCTGGACTGAACCATCCTTATTTTCTCTCAACATCTCACATGAGAGAATCATCTTGACCTTCACCTGACAGTTGTCTCTGATGAGCCTCAAGACTAAAGGTTTGGCTCTTTCCATCGGTGCAAAACCTTCAACACTCCCAATTCTGAGTTGTCTAGCAAAATCCCTCGATGCACTGGCTAACTCACAAAACTGATGAGTTTTGTATTTTTCAACGAAATCATTCCATTCCTGAGGCTGATCCAGGATTTCAAAAATGGGAGGTTCGAAGAAATGGGCCGCCAAAGGCAGACTCATCTGGAGGGGGGACATGCTCCCCCGGGAAATTTTGAAATTCAAGTCCTCGGAAATGCGATTTCCAGCGTTTTGAGGGATGATGGTGGACGGTTTAATACCTTAACAAAACATCTCTTTTTAAAGCTAATTTGTTAAACGAGGACTACGTTTAAGTCTTCACAATAATTGAGATCAACTGACTCTTAGAAAATGAAACTTAAATCACTGTAATTTATTTGTCTTCGCTATTTAATGTGTTCTTCTGAAGTCACGCTTATTAAGATTCCTCAAACATTGGATCAACGAGTAACTTTCTACGAGGTTGTTGTTCGGCAAATTTCTGAACATCGTAATCGACAGGCTTTTCAAAATGAATACTCACTGTAGGTAGCCCTTGACCAGTTTCAAAGTGCTGTTTGAGTGCTCGTTATCAGCTGATTTGACTGGAATTGTACATGCAATTCGCAACAACAGGTGGATGTTCGGAAAGATGTCGGGATCACAAGCCTGTAGATAGACAGAAAATATAACCAATAAAGCTGTCATTTGTTAACCTAAGGAAAATTTTAATATAAACAAATTGAGTTACTTCGAACCTGTAAGGCAGTTTGAAGCGCGTCTATTTTGTTCGTCTCGGATTGCCATTTTCTCATCCAACGATCATATTCAATGTCGAGAGTCTGTGGGCTTCGTGGATCTGACATATACATCTCGAGAACTTCAGCTATGTCTACGTTTGTGTCCGCTACAATGGCGCTCAGCACAAGACCAAGCAATTGCACTGCAGTCTTCTGAGTGGACCCAAATCTGAAAAAAAGAACCCTGTGATGAATAAGCCTGTTTGAACAATCATTTATTATATCTGTAAATATTTAACGTCATGTAAACAGCCGAGCGGTTGATAATTTATATAGATTACCTTGAAGACATTTCTTGTGTGATATGGTCAAGGAATGGAATGAACAGATTGCGGCGGTAGTATTCCTCAGATGTGTCATGGGGTGCATTTGCCCCATACTTGTCTTTGCGCCGTTCTTGGAGCGCTTGGTTCCGTGCCCAGCTCTGAACTGATCTCCGCAGCATATGCGTACCATCTTTGGAAGACAAAATCATTCTTGTCTCGCAATTCTTTCAACTCCTTCTCCGTCTCCATATTGTAGGCGGTAACAATGTCATTAGACTTTTTTTTATAGCTTTACGCTAATCAGCTTTATGACCGCCAGAATTTTCATCGTGACCGTCAAGGACATGGTGTTGCTGTTCACCTAAAATGACCTCAAACGTTTTTACAACTGATGAAAGTAACTGGACAAAAGTTTCATATGCCTCATGACGCTCCACCCAACGAGTACGGCAAAGGTCGCGAATCTTGGTTCTTTGAGACTCTAGCTGATCCAGGCTTATCACTTTTTCCAAGCACCCCTGCTTAGGGGAATGATTAAAAATGTTTGCGCAATCTGTAATTGTGCCAGCCATGTTGCGAACTAATGGCAAGCTGCATGCCTTTACGATAACGAGATTAAGGACAAGCGAATTGCAGTATGCGTACAAGGCTTTGGGTTTTTCTGGGAAATTAAGCCTTGTACGCCTATAGCTTCAGCTACCGCCAGCTGAAGAATGACGTTATATCACCACGTTCATTGCGCCTCGTGCTTGTTACAGATTTAAGAGACCTCCTTTCGGTCTCATCGACGCGAGCGAACCCTTTCAGTGGATGATGGACGAAATTTTTTTGGCGTCCAGGATGTTCACATTTCAGTCGGTGACGTAATCATTCATAGCAAGACCGATCTTCAGTCGTTTCTTGGAACTTGTGGCTTTGTTTCTAAGTTTATTCCAAACTATGCGAACAAAACAGAACCACTTCGAAAGCTTACTGGAAAAGAGCAGAAGTCCTCATGGCAAGTAAAGGCATTCAAAGCCTTGAAAGAGGCATTGCTGGCTCACCTGCCTTGGCTTGTTGTCTGTAACGGGACACCCTGTGAAAGAAATATTTATGACATTTACGCGATTTTGTGACAATTTTGAATTTCGTGATCATGTTCCGTCTAAAAGTCCATCGGCTATCGTCTACCGTCTATCGTCTACCGTTTACCGTCTTTGTGTTTTAGTTCATGCCGTTTCGGAAAAAGGAAAACTTGTGGAAATCGTGTGGAATAAACGCGTTCGTGTGTCTCCATACTACGCGCGAAGCAACAGAAAATTAGAGAGATTTCGCCGATACTAAAAGAAAAATTTTTGCGCAGCCGTAAGCGAAGGTAAATCCTGGCAAACGGAGTTGCCTAAAATTATCATGCTCTACAGAGCAAGTCCGCTTCAAATTTGTTCAATTGCGCCTTCGAACTAAGCTATCGCGCATCAAATTCGATTCAAACACGGCATTATCGGCATTCGACCGTGAGGATCGGTCAAAATGCAATTTGTATCAAGCGCATTTGAAGAACTATCACGATAGCAGGCAAAATGCAGAAACGCCTAATTTCAAGATTGGCGATTTCGTATTTTGTGCCAACATGAAGACAAACAAACCAGATTCACATTTCTCTGCAGCCAAACACGTAATCATTGAGACCAAAGAGACACTTTTAGTTTAGTGAATGTGGACACGGGCACCACTTTGATACGCAATGCGAAGTTCCTTAAACACGTGCCCAGTAAGAATGTTGGTAATGACATTAATGTAGACACTAGAGCTAAGACTGAGGAGTATAATGACTCTTCCACGAAAACTTCTGACGTTTTCAAAAGTACAGAACTCCCTGGCAGGATTGTGGAGCAAGCCTCTCAGAGTAAACAGGTTATCACCACAAGGTCAAGAAGAGTACTTAAATCAAAGAGGGATTGTGACAATTTTGTTTACTATTGAAGTAACCATAGTTTGATTTCGTAGCTTGTGATTGCATTAACTATATTCCTTATGATTCTTTAAACATTTCCCAAGATGTGATATCACTGTGGGACTACTTTAATGAAATAACATTATTGTACCAGCTCATTTGATAGTTGGATCGATCAATGAAGACAGAATATAGAAAGCAAATAAAGATTGTGTGTCTCCACTACATGAATACACCACATCCTACATCGCTGATTCTCGAAAATGGAATTGTGATGAAATAACAAAATATTTATAATTAACAGGCAAAATTAAAAGAAGCATAGCTTAATCATTACTGGATCCTAAAGGATAGACCAATAGAGGAACAGTACTGGTCTTAAGCAAGCCCACATAAATTATCACTACTGTTACTATTGTTATCACCATCATCATCATTATTATTGTTATTATGAGATTTTGTTATCATTGAATTATTGGTTGAGTGACAATTATTCATTACATTCTGGAATCATCTTTCTGTTGTGGAACAACTTACTCAAAAATATGTGGGATGCAGCGGGTTTTTTGTTTTGCAGGTGAGACAAATCTGCTCTATCACTTCCCTCTAGCGTCATTGTACAATCTTTAGTTCTTTTCAATGCTATAGAAATTATGCCATATTAGTAGCCGTATATAGTCTTCACATTGTGGCATGTAAATTGTATTTGTTATATTTAAGCTTAGCTAGTTATAATCGACTCAATAGGCATAGTATTTACATTAACTGGATATATATATATAATTTAGAATAATATATACATAATATATAGAATATGCATAGAGTGATATATAGAATAAAATAAAGAAAATACCCTACACCGATAAATTCCAAATTTTTACCGTTAAATTGGTCATTATTATATCTATTAAATCCTATAGTATATAAGCTGTAAACAATTTTTGCCGTTGGGCACCTCACTCACTTACATTAACTGGTGGAGGTCTGGCTCTACTCAATCTTTGAAGACGCTCTTTCTA